TTGTCCCTGGGTAGAAAAGTTTTCTGTGAAAAGAGATGGGCTGTTCACTTAGGCTTAATGATGTCATATTCTCTTTACCTGTCCTTCTGCATCCACCAGGTTATTGAAAGCAATGGGATGGCAAGAATATCCTGAAAACGATGAGAATTGCCTTCCCCTCACAGAGGATGAGCTCAAAGAGTTCCACATGAAGACAGAGCAGGTATGTTGTAAACCTTCCTAGAGACCAGTTAGTAACCAGGAGAATAAGGAGTCCAGACAGTCCTTGCCCTGAGGGAGCCCTAGTTTAATGTGAGAGAAAGATCTGGGAGGGGTGGGAAAATTACCTTAGTAGAAATGTAGCGGGGCTCCTAAATCTGCCTGGGAAATAAGGATCCCCAGTATTGGATACAAAAACCAAGTGTCAGTTATTAGCAGATTCCAGAAAATAGTATACTCTTTCATCCTCACAGCTCTAACTCCTTATCAGAACCACAAGGCTGTGTTCCAGAGTTATGGTCTGAGCTCTTGGTCTTTAAGGAAGCAGGTTCGCCTTCCTCTGCTTCCTGTTCTGCACTGTAGCTTCCTTGGTCCTCTGGCCAGAGCTAAGAAGCTAAATAGCTTGTGTCAGTTTATCCAGCAGTTGCTTGGATTCTTTCTCTGAATAAAACACTGCTAGATTCTAGGGTGAACAAGACAAATGGGGTTTCTATAAAAATCCTTGAACTTCTGGTGGCATATATTTACAGCACAAAGTACAATTGGCCAAGTTCTTAAAAGGGGCATGGCACAAGCTGGTATGAGACCTTGCCACTCTGAACTCTGTTAGAAATAAGGACTTATGGCTGGGCGCAGTGGCTCTCGCCTGTAATCTCAACAGATTGGGAGGCTGAGGCAGGCGGATCACGAGGTCAGGAGCTCGAGACCAGCCTGGCCAATATGATGAAACCCCATCTCTACTAAAAATACAAAAATTAACCAGGCTTGGTGGCGCACGCCTGTAATCCCAGCTACTTGGGAGGCTGAGGCAGAAGAATCACTTGAACCCGGGAGGCAGAGGATGCAGTGAGCCAAGATCGTGCCATTGCACTCCAGCCCGGGCGACAGAGCGAGACTCCGTCTCCAAAAAAAAAAAAGAAAGAAAAAGAACTTTCAAGCTCCATCCCAGACATACTGAATCTGAATCTGCATTTTTGAAAGATGCATAGATGACTCGTACATTAAAATTTGAAAAACACTGCTATAAGAGATCTCAGAGGGTCTCTTAGAAGCACCCCCTATCCCACATTCTACCTAGAATTGAATTGAGGCCTGGCCTTTCCCAGGGCTCATGAGTCAGTGCAGTCATTGACAATTTTTTCTTTTTTCTTTCTCTCCCATGCTAACCATAGCTGAGAAGAAATGGCTTTGGAAAGAATGGCTTCTTGCAGAGCCGCAGTTCCAGCCTGTTCTCCCCTTGGAGAAGCACTTGCAGAGCAGAGTTTGAGGACTCAGACACCGAAACCAGTAGCAGTGAAACATCAGATGACGATGCCTGGAAGTAGGCATATAAATGCTCACAGTTAAATCTGACCCAGTAAACTCTGTGTGTTTAGGGAGTATACAAAAGAAATCGTTCTTTTCCTTTTCTTATGTTGTTGAATACTTCATTCACAAGGGAAATAATCGTATCCCAAAGAGAGAGCGATTGGCTTGTTTCGCTTTTGTTGTTGTTCTTCCCTGTTATCTGCTTAATAGAGAGAAGTTTGTGTGGTGGGACAGATTTTTTAAACACACACACACACACACACCCCCCCAGTATATATGGGGTGATGCACAGGTAGGAGCTGGCAGTGCAGGGAAGAGGAGACACCGGTCTGCAGCAACAGCTTCTACTACCAGCCCTTAGGGCACTCACCCCTGTGCTCAAGCAATCATTGTCAATGACAAAGTGACTATTGAAGTTATAATTGTATTAAATTAATGCTAATAATTTGGATATTTTATTTTATTTTTGGCTGCTCGGGTAACTTTAGCCCTTAACCAAGCATACGTGGTTTTTTTGGTTGTTTTTTTTTGTTTTGTTTTGTTTTTTTTCTTTTTCCTTTTTGGGTACAGCTGTAAAATATTTGGATATAGGAAATGTTGTGTTATCTTGCAGCCTTGATATTCAGGGTGGATTGTAAAATATAAATTTTTGTGAGATTTCAAAGATTAAGATTATTTTGATAACATTATTTACAGATTTAAAAGATGTGGTTATCACAAGTCTCGAGGGGGAAACTACTGCATAAAATAACTAACTTGGAATAAATATTTTGCATCAGTTTGGATTGTCTTGTGTAAGAAGTATATTTTCTTTAAAATTAAATGAGTGGATTCTTTTTTAGGGGAAATATTTTTAGAAGTTGGGGGGAAATGTGAATTCAGACACAACTGTTCTCTTTTTAGCAGATACTTTTTTGATGCAGAAAAACCTGTGCAATAAATTACCACTAATAAAGTCAGAAACCAAGTTTTTTTTTTTTTTTTTTTTTTTTCCTGAAACTGTTTTTTAGTGCCCATGTATTTACCAGTATACATATTTTAAGGGAAGTCTATTCTGTTTTCCTACTAAATAAGAACTTAGAGCAGGGGTTGGGGGAGAGTTGGACGATGCTAGCCGGATGGCTAGTGAAGGAAGCAGGTTTTTTCATTCAACAAATACTTTCTTTTTTATTTTTATTTTTGAGACGGAATCTCTCTGTGTCGTCCAGGCTGGAGTGCAGTGGCGCCATCTCGACTCACTGCAAGCTCCGCCTCCCGGGTTCCCACCATTCCCCTGCCTCAGCCTCCCAAGTAGCTGGGACTACAGATGCCCGCCACCACGCCCAGCTAATTTTTTGTGTTTTTAGTAGAGACGGGGTTTCACCTTGTTAGCCAGGATGGTCTCGATCTCCTGACCTCGTGATCCGCCCGCCTTGGCCTCCCAAAGTGCTGGGATTACAGGCGTGAGCCACTGCGCCAGCCCATTCAACAAATACTTTCTAAGCCCCTGTTGTATGTCCCCGGCATTGTGCAAGGCTCTGAGGATGCAAGGAGTGCCCAGCCCCATAGGGGAGAGAATAGACAGTGATCTAAGAAAAGGCCAGGAGTGCAAGACCAGCCTGGCAACACAGTGACCTGTCTACAAAAAACAAAAACATTAAAATAGCCAGGTCCAGCAGGGCATGGTGGCTCACGCCTGTAATCCCATCACTTTGGGAGGCTGAAGTGGGTGGATCGCCTGAGGTCAGAAGTTCAAGACCAGCCTGGCCAACATGGCGAAACCCCATCTCTACTAAAAATACAAAAAAATTAGCCAGGCGTGGCGGCAGGTGCCTGTAATCCCAACTATTTAGGAGACTGAGGCAGGAGAATTGCTTAAACCCAGGAGGCAGAGGTTGCAGTGAGCCTGTACCGCACCATTGCACTCCAGCCTGGGCAACAGAGCAAGACTCTATCTCAAAAACAGAAACAAAATAGCCAGGTCCACCTGGTAGCACACGCTTGTAGTCCCAGCTTCTTGGGAGGCTAAGGCAGGAGGATTGCTTGATTCCAAGAGAGGTCAGGGCTACAGTGAGCCATGATGGCACCACTGCAATCCAGCCTGGATGACAGAGTGAGACCCGGTCTTTTGAGGGGGGTTGGGGGGATTGGTAGTAGTATTTCTACCAAATGCCTATCGCTGTTGCACCATTATAAAGTCAAACAGTCAAAAGTCTAACCACTGAAAATCGGGACAAACTTAGCTGTTGAAAAGTAGGTTTCGATTTGGGCTTTGCCATTTACTTGTTTTCTGAGAACATATTTCTAAAAATGTGCTCTTGGTGTCAGTTGGAATGAAGCTGAACTGAGATGACATAACCTTGAACACTGTCACTTGCTGCTGGTGGGCCATACCTCGGCTTTAGGTACTGTGTTGGGAAATGTCTTAAGTCCCTGTCTTGTTAAGAAAAGGGGTTTCTTGGCCGGGCGCGGTGGATCACGAGGTCAGGAGATGGAGACCATCCTGGACTAACATGGTGAAACCCCCTCTCTACTAAAAAATAGAAAAAAATGAGCCAGGCTTGGTGGCGGACGCCTGTAGTCTCAGCTACTGGGGAGGCTGAAGCGGGAGAATGGTGTCAACCCAGGAGGCGGAGCTTGCAGTGAGCACTGCACTGCACTCCAGCCTAGGTGACAGAGCAAGACTCCGTCTCAAAAATAAATAAATAAATAAATAAATAAAGGGGGTTTCTTAAGAAATATGTGGTCACCTCAGAGCTCCTGCATATATTTTGGGAGTGGGAGTGGAGTGAAGAATTTCACCAACAGTTCAGGGCCTTTCTGGCTTCTGGCCAATCTTGGGAGAGAAGGGGTTTCTTTGTGGACTTGACTCCCTCATCTGATAGATTCATTGTGTTCACCCACAGCTTCTTGGGCTGTGCTGATTATCTCCGTCTACAGCTGAAAAACGAGGAATCAGGGAATGCGAGTTAGGGAAAGACTGCTATCTCTGGTGTGATGTGGTTTCCAGGCAGAATGCTGGAAAGGTCAGTGTGCCTCCTTTACCATGTAGTTCTCTGGATTGCAGAGTGGTACAAACTGTTACTTACATCCACTTAGGAGTACAGCAATGAAAAAGATGATGCCTGCCTTTTAGAGGCTATTAAATGACCAATGATGGAGTGATAAGGGCCCAGCTACTCTAGGAGGCAACTGTTTTTTCCTCTATTAATAGGGAAACCAAGCTACAGTTAAGAGACTTGCCCACGTTCAGACTTGTAACGCTTTTTCAAGCCAGTGGCTCCTCCCAAATGGCCAAGGTGTCCCCACCCATTCTCCTGACCTGCCCAGCCTTGTGGTTGCTGTCCAGGGAGCTAAGGCTCTCACCAAACAAACTTGAAGATCTGGCAGACCTAACAGACCTGGCCTTTCCTCTCGGCCTCTGGCTTTCTGTCTCTTTCATCCTCCTCTGCCTTTCCCCTGCCCTTGATCCCTTCTGCAGGTCTTGACTTGTTTCAGGAAACAGGTCCCATCCCATGGACTCCCATTCTGGGGAGCCAGCGCTCCTGCCCTGTGGGACCTGTGACATGGTTTTCCGCTCCTCAGCTCTGTTAGCCACCCACACACAGCGCTTCTGCATTGGCCACCCGACCCAAGAGAAGACATTTGGAGCACAGGCCTCAGTTGCCACTGAACCCCAAGGGGCCGCGGTAAGGGCCTCCATGGCCATGGGTGGGGATTCAAAGGAGCAGGACCTTTATAATTCCTCATCCTCCTACACCCTGTCCCCAGGTTGTGCCACAAGATCTCCAGGGCCTCCCAGACCAGCAGGCCAGTAAATCTGCTCTAAAGAGGTTAACAGAGGAGGTACAGCTGCCTACCTTTCCCCAGGGCTCAAAACGTTGAGCGTCTTCCCCAAACCTGTAGATCATACTTGGGACAGATTCTGCCCACACAGAGATCGCGGATCGCTGTTACCTCCAGGTGCAGTGGCTGCGGCTATCCCTACAGGAAATGCAGCCCTGGATAACAGAGGTCCCCAGGGTGCTCGCGGAGTCCTGGACACGTTCCGAGGCGCGCCCTCAGAGTCCCATGTCCGAGGCGGTGGGAGGCCCCAGCGAGCGGCTGCGAGCGCTGCTCAGGACTCGCGCGAGGCGCGTGGCGGAGACGGAAGCGCAGAGCTGGGCCCTGCAGCAACGCGGCCAGGGTGAAGGAGATGGGGGGCGGGGACCAAGGACCTCCTCTGCCCTTACCCTTTGGCTTAAGCTTGCTCGCGCCGGTTCTGACTCGGCCCGCATTCCCTCAGAACTGAGCCGGCGCCTCCAAGGTGCGGCCTCTACGCGGGGCGGGATATCCCGCCTCTTCGGCCTGGAGCAGGAGATTCGAGAACTACGAACTGAGGCCGGTAGGACGCGGGGAGCTCTAGAGGTGTTGGGAGCCCGCATTCAGGAGCTGCAGGCGGAGCCAGGGTGAGACCCCGACGAAGCGGAACCCCGGAACATGCGGCTCCGGGGTGGGAGGGGCCGGCGGGCTGGCTGGAGCTCCGGACCCCTGATGCGTTACCTTCTCCCTGCGTGTCGCCTGCCACCCCAGGAACCCGCTGAGCTCCGGTCGAGAAGCAAAACTCTATTCTCCAGTGCTAAAGGCCAACCCGGGAACTCTGGCTGCCGAAATCGGGTGAGGGCCGGGGTCTGGAGATGGGCATGGGACGAAGCGCTGAGCAGTTCTGGAAAGATGGCCTTCCTGTTCCCCATTCCCTAGGGCCCTGCGGGAGGCCTACATTCGAGACGGAGGCCGGGACCCCGGTGTGCTGGGCCAGATATGGCAGTTGCAGGTGGAGGCGTCTGCACTGGAGCTGCAGCGGTCGCAGACCCGCAGAGGTGAACAGGAGGGCCTCTCGGCAGCGGTGGTCAGTCCTGGGAGGAGAAAAGAACTCGAGGGAGGGTCTGTGGCTGTGGATAGGATGTGAGCTGACAAGTCCAGCCTTATCCGAAGAGCCTTAGCGCTGGAGAGCTGCTTGCAGCTGGACCCGGCCAGTCACCAGAGGTCAAAGGTGACAGGTCACACTTGTTCATTGCAGGAAGGGCAGGTGCCACCTCAGGGGAGCTTCCAGTAGTGGAGGCTGAAAACCGGCGCCTGGAGGCAGAAATCTTGGCCTTGCAAATGCAGCGGAGTCAGGCAGCCTTGGGTCAGTGAGCACCCCAACCCTATCCCATCCCACCTCTCCCCAGCAGGCCTGGCTCAGGCAGCCAGTGCATGGGGAATAAGTCCCGTGTTTATGACTCCCCTAGTCTGCACGTGTGTGTCCCTGTATCCTCAGGGCTCCGCCAACCCATTTGTGGGTATCTCAGCTAATTACCTGCTTTGTCCAACTTAGGGGCACCCTAACTCTTCTTCTGCTCCTAGGGCCCCGGGATCTGCGACTCCTGTGGGGTGCCAGCCTACAACCGAAGGGGAGGAGAGATCCCCCACTCCTTTCACCGCCAGTGGCACCACCACTGCCACCACTTCCAGGCTTCACGGAGGTTCGGTTCCTGGGTGGGGGAAAGGCTGTGAAGACACTGGGTGGAAGGGGGAATAGGTTGCGGGCAGCTCTGCTCTGAGCAGTTGGGGGAACTTGGGCAGCTAAAAGGCCTTCCGGAGGAGTCAACTATCTTCCCCACAGCCACAGCTTCCTGGAACAATGACCAGAAACCTGGGCCTGGACCCACACTTCCTCCTACCCACATCGGACGTGCTGGGCCCTGCACCCTACGATCCTGGGTGAGGCCCATGCCACTTTTCACATCCTCTGTGACTTGGCCAGCACTGCTGGTTAAGGGAGCCCACTAGGGCCAGATAGGGTTAGGAACCTGCCTGAGAGGAGAGAGGTTGAAAGGAGTTGGGTGTTTCTGTGCTAAGACTTGTATTCCCCAGGGCTGGCCTGGTCATTTTCTATGATTTCCTGCGGGGCCTTGAGGCTTCCTGGATTTGGGTGCAACTAAGGACTGGCTTGGCACGCGATGGACAGGATACAGGAGGGACCACAGCATTGCCCCCAGCCATTTGCCTGCCCCCACCTCCTGCTCCCGGGCCCATGGGCAACTGTGCTATCCTTGCCAGCAGGCAGCCTGTGCCCAGGTCAGTAGGTGGGGATCATGACTCTGGTACTCTGCCACAATTAAGGCTTATCCATCATTCTGCTAAGTTTTCTCATCTGTATACAGAGGCCACTGGCTCTAAAGGGCTAAGTCCTAGGAAGGGACTGCAGCTCTGGCTTCCGACACTGCTTTTTGGTTATTCTACAGACTGCCACCCTCACCATCAGTATCTTTGGTCTGTGAGCTGCAGGTCTGGCAGGGCCTGGCATGGGCTAGGGCACCACAGCCAAAGGCTTGGGTCTCACTTGGGCTATTTGACCAAGATCAGCGGGTGCTAAGCGGCCGCTGGCGCCTCCCACTTCGGGCCCTTCCTCTGGACCCCAGCCTTAGCCTCAGGCAGCTGAATGGGATTCCTCAGGTGAGTGTGGTGGGTGGGGATTGGGCATACAGCAAGGTACAAGTGCAGTACCATTTCATCTCTCCTCAGGCAGGTCAGGCTGAGCTCTTTCTGCGGCTGGTGAATGCAAGAGATGCAGCTGTCCAGACACTGGCAGAGATCAATCCAGCAAGTGCCCATGAGTACCAGTACCCACCTCCGGTGAGGGCCCAGCTGCAGCTAGGGACACCACAGCTACCCATACCAGTGTGTCTAATAGCCAGCCTTTATTGACCACTGTATGCCAGTCATTACCAATGCTTTTCTGTTTGATCCTCACATCTCTATGAAGTCCTACTATGTAACAGATAAGGAAATCAAAGCAGGACCAGGTTAACTTGGTTCACAGTAAGTTGAGACTCTAAGGAAGCCTAACTCCACAATCTGTGTGCTTAACCTTTACATTTTTGCTCAAAACCTGCCTTCTCACTGTTCCACAGGTTTTGTCAAGCACATCTTCACCGGAAGCCAACTTCCTCACCCTCACATCTGGCTTTGCTGATCCCCCACCTCGTACAGAAGAGCCCCTCAGTGGAGTCAAGGATAGAGATGAGGGTTTGGGCCCTCACCACAGTTCTGACTTGCCCCCAGTGAGTTTCTGAACCCAAGTGAATGTGGGGATGAGCATCAGAACATGCACAGGACTGGGGCCTATTTCCAGACCTACAGCTTTTACTACTCCATGTTCTGACATTGGGCCTAGAAGCAACTAGCAGTTGAGTACAGAATACGAGCTCCAGTTTTACCACCTCCCATAAGTCCTTAACTTTTCTGTACCTCTTCTGTTTTTATAAAACAGGCTAAGGATTAAATGAGTTTGTCAGGTATTTATGATATTGTCTGGCACTTACAAAGTTCTCCGAAAGGTGACTAGGGGGCATTCTTTAATTCCAACTAAAGGAACTTTAAATTCCCACTAGTTTCCACTGGTTTTTTAAGTAAAGCCAGTTTTATTGCCAAACTTAAATCTGTTTCCTCAGTATTTCTGCCAGGAAACCTTTCAGGTTGTCAAGGTACCAACAAACAGGAAGCTCCTGAGGCTTTATGTACTTCGATTCCGGGATAGGACCCCAGCCCAAGGCTGTTCCCCCACCCAGAGGTCACATGTGAGATCCTAGCTTAGATACTGTGCCTAGCCCTAGACCCCAGTGCCAACCAGAGGAGGTCAAGTGCCTGGGATTAAACTACATCATGACTGTTCTGACCAAGAAAGGGGGGAAAAAGTCTCAGGACCTGGTACACTGCAAGGGCATCATCAGCGAGAAACTCCACACCCAGGATAAGCCAGAGATCCTGCAACCATGAGTTATTGTGACCAGCCCAGAAAAACTTAGTCTGAAAAATGGGCTTGAATTTAGGGGTCAGCCATAGCTCCCTCTGCCTCCAGTGCAACAAAGCAGCCCTATGGATGTCACGACTACTAAATTTTAGTGGTGATGCAGAGCAGGCACTGTTTGGAATTCAGATCCTGATACTTAAACTAAGGGTCAGGTCAGAGGCAGCTCAGTCTCAAGTGAGCCCTGAACTCTAGATACCAGTGAGAGCCCAACGGGTATAACATTAATACTAGTGCCCTCACCACCAGCATCCTTGGACTGGTGGGCTCGTTCCTGCCTTTGAAACCCTCTATCACACAGAAATGCTCCAGTCAGGTGAGGTGGCTCACGCCTGTAATCCCAACACTTCGGGAGGCCGAAGTGGGCAGATCACTTTAGGTCAGGAGTTCGAGTCCAGCCTGGCCAACATGGTGAAACCTTGTCTCCACCAAAAATACAAACATTAGCCAGGTGTGGTGCCACACGCCTGTAGTGCTGGCTACTTGGGAGCCTCCTGAGGCAGGAGAATCTCTTGAACCCAGGAGACAGAGGTTACAGTGAGCCGAGATCGCATCATTGCACTCCAGCCTGGGCGACAAGAGCGAGATTCCATCTCAAAAATACACAGCCTAAGATCCCACTGTAAGATCTTTAAACATAATTCCAAACAAGGAGATTTTTAGCATCTTTATTTGAGAAGTCAATTCAGTTGATGGGTAACAATTCCAAGTGTTGATATATCTCAACCTTTCTATACAGAAAATAACAAAACTCAACCAGCCAGCCTCCCCACATATGCTTCCAACCACATCTGGAGTATCCACCATCAGTCCCTTGGCTACCTTCAAACCAGAGCTCAGATGCAGACCGTTTTCCTTAGGAATCATTCCCCTGACCCAGGTGTTCTTCAGAGTTCTTTTTCCAGGACAGGATTATAGCCCCAGTTGAAGACTAGGTTGATATAGGACAAGTACCATTCTAGGCCTGGCTCACAGCCGAAGTCCATAATCCATTTTCAGCACCGAAGAGCAAGATCTTCACCAAGTCTTGTTTTTGTAGCCCCATCCAGGGACAGCACCACTAAAGGTTTTGCAAGACAGCTGGATTCAGTGAAGTATTTGAAAACAGAATATAGCACCATTGGAAAACAAAGGCCTACAGCCACACTTGATCACCTCCACGTTAGACAGATAAGAATTAGGATCAGGAACACAGATCAGTACAGAAGGCCAGAACAAAACCTTTGGCTACTATGTAAAACCAGGAGTGTTCCAAGGCAGATTCAGCCAATAATTAAGAAAAAAAACCATCAAAGCCTCAACCTTTGCTTACAATCTTTATTGAAGTTATACAAAAAGAATCCTCCAAAAGTGAAAAAATACATTATATACAAAAACACTTTCCCTTGGGAGGGGGGCTGTGCCGCCTCTTAACATGCAGTGCTTTCAACTGTAGCTCCAGCCTCCACTGTCGCCTCCACTGCCGCCCGGCTTTCAGCCCGATTCTCAGCCTGGAAGACAAACAGAGCCTGGGCATGAGTGAGCCTAATTTAAGCCGTTCTGTCTTACGTAACTGAGGCCTCAGTGAGAGGAAGCATATACAAGTCACCCAAACTCTGCTTTGCTCCCTATATTAAAAGGGCAGTATTTCTTGAATGCTCTGTGATAATGGGGTTGACAGAGCCAATAATCATATTACATGGAATGGTTTTGCCAATCAAGTGCCTTCTCCTATGTTCATTGAAGGACCTATGATATACAGGTTCCTTTTGTCAGTGAGTCATCCTACACTCCCATAACCAAACTGTTTTCCTGCACAAGTACCGTTTCCTGTGAGGAATGCACTCAACAGTTGTTAACAGGCTCAAGGTGGGGAGCATGCACTTGGGAGGACTGATTTCCCCAGGTCCTGAGAACAACGAATGAGGCAAGAAGCTAAGCCCTGCTTAACTGCCCACCTCCTCCTCCATGTTTTCCGAAACTTCATTTCCACTGGGGACAGCATCCCCACTGCCTCCGTTCACCTCCGGCTCTGGTTTGGCTTTCTTTGCATCATCTTTCCGGGGACTCTCTTCCTCTGGTTTCCTCTAAAGATATAATTGTGAAGGCTTCACAAATGTGCTTAATGTTTTTAAAAACACAACTGCAAAACATTTCCTTAACCCTTGTGGTGCAAAGATCCTGAACACCACGATTCATAGCTCTGAGGGTCTCTCTCCCTAGCCATGGGCAGATGCCAAATTGTACTCTCAGAATAAATTAATCTGTCCCACCATACCACTTCAGGCCCCTCTACCGGAAGCACAAGGAGACAGGGTTGGGGTGGGATGTGAATGGTAATCACTGTACGGGTTTGAATTCCTGTGTTTGAGTCAGGAAACACAACAGGAATTCAGAGTTCCCTGGCCGAGGGCAGTGGCTCACGCTTGTAATCCCAGCACTTTGGGAGGTCGAGGCGGGCAGATCACGAGGTCAGGAGTTCAAGACCAGCCTGGCCAATATGGTGAAACCCTGTCTCTACTAAAAATACAAAAATTAGCCAGGTGTGGTGGCACGCACCTGTAATCCCAGCTATTTGGGAGGCTGAGACAGGACAATCGCTTGAACCCAGGAGGCAGAGGTCGCAGTGAGCCGAGACCACGCCACTGCACTCCAGCCTGGGTGACAGAGCGAGACTCCCATCTCAAAAAAAATGAGTTCCCCTATCCACCAAAATAAAAGAGCCACCAGTACTGTAGGCAAAAGGCAGACTCAGGAATTAAGTACCAACAGGCCTGCTGCTGAATGACTACTGTCAAAGAAAACCTGCCACCTGCCAGCTGCTAATCCAATCCTCCTCTGCAGCTTTCATGGTAATTCTATGGGCTTTAAAAGGCCAGGAGTGTTTGCAAAAAGAGGTGTGCAAATAAAAACTGTCTCCACAGGTGGGAGCATTTTGGGAGGCCGAGGCGGGCAGATCACGAGGTCAGAAGTTTGAAAACAGCCTGACCAATATGGTGAAACTCCGTCTCTACTAAAAATATAAAATTACCCAGGCATGGTGGCACGCGCCTGTAATCCCAGCTACTCTGGAGGCTGAGGCAGAAGAATCGCTTGAACCTGGGAGGCAGAGTTTGCAGTGAGCCAAAACGGTGCCACTGCACTCCAGCCTAGGTGACAGAGCAAGACTCCGTCTCAAAACAAACAACAACAACAACAAAAACTGTCTCCACTCACAAATCCTTACCCCCTTTGGAAAATGAGTGTCTTATATGCGCCAACTATATAGGGAGAGGTTTATAGGAAAGGTATTAAAAATGGAATCTGAGGAAAAGGTAGGAAAGAACCACCACATGTAGACTTACCTTCTTTCTGACAAGGTGGGAAATATCAGTCACACAGTTTGATGAGGAAGCACCATCTGTTGGCTTTCTACCGGCAATCTGGCAAAATAAGCCTTTATTAGCAATTGTACAAGCTATATGAGATCAATGCTGAGGCTTATATGATTTTTTAGTCTTTTTGAGACAAGGTCTCACTATGTTGCCCAGGCTAGTGTTGAATTCCAAACCTCAAGCAATCCTCCTGCCTCGGCCTCCCAAAGTGCTGGGATTACAGGCGTGAGCCACCACACCAAGCCAACACTGAGACTTAATATAAGTGACCAAAAAAACCACCTGAATACGCACCATGGAGACTGAAGAGCCTCCTCCACTAGGAGTGAAACCTGAAGTAGAGCTCTCCACCTGCAAGAAATGGCAAACCCAAATTGGTTTCAGGATAGAACCCAGGCCACCCGCAGCCTTGTAACAGGTACCCATCACCATCCAAACAACTAAGACCTGAAATACTAGTGGCCTCCATATAGCATCAAGATCTTCTACCCCTGGCCCATCTATCCCTGTCTAGTGGCCACCCAGAGCATAGTCGCAGAGTGTACCTGATAATCTTCCATGTCCTACCTGCAGGGTAAAAAGCTCTGGGACATTCTAACACAGCCAAAAACAGAACCAGGCAATTTGTGGTCAATGCCTCTCAATGCCTCACTAATTTATGCAAATGAGTTCTTAGAAATGGAAATAGCAACTTACATTTGTTAAGAAATGTCTATTTTTCCAGTACTGTCAGAAGTGTATTTTACACATATGTACTACAGGTTGGGCAGCCCATTCCTTAATCTGACTGACACTCAAAGGAAATGCTCTCTGGAGCATTTCAGATTCTGGATTAAGGGTATCCAACTGTTGAGTATGATGCAAATACTCCAAAATCCAAAAGCATCTGAAATGCAAAACACTTCTGGTCTCAAGCATTCAGGTAAGAATCTCAACCTGTATTATCCCCCAACTTACAAATGGGTCAACTGAGGGAGAGAAATGCCCATGGCCATTTTAAGTATGGAATTAAAACCCAGATAGTCTGGGGCTCCAGGGTATTTCCTCTTAACCAATGCATTATTCGATAGGAATAATTAGATGAGCCCACCAACTCCCTGGAAACCAAGTCATGATGAAAAGTTCCTGGCAAATGAAACATTAACATAAATGGTACCAAACATGCTATTATCAAAATGTTAACAGAACCAACCAGAGTAGCTTTCAGAGCCAGTTCAGCTACATTCCCACTATGCTGAGACTCCTTTGCATCTTCTATCTTCTCTCTAATTTCGGGTAGCAGTTCCTTTAGTTCCTCAATTTCTTTCTTGTATTCAGCAGACAATCCTTCAGCCTCCTTCACATGCTCATTTAGTACAGCTAAAAAGAATAAAATGATTAGTAATGGCGCAAAAAAGAACTGTTATTTTCCCTTAACTGCTGGATCCAACATCACCATGAAGCAGCTGGTCTTCACTCACCCATTCTCTTCTCAATAACTTCAATAGATTTGCTGAACTGTGCCACTGCCTCATCATACTGAGAGTTGTACCCATAAGCCAAGCCCAGCTGGTAGTGGGTCTCTGCAAGGAGACGGTCGTGGGCTTCTAGGTACTGTTCCTGCAGGTTTAGGCAGGACTGGAACTCCTCCACAGCTTGCACATAGTTTTCTAACAAAGAGAAAAAGAAAAACAAGTAAATGGACAGCATTTAACATAAAATACTTCCAGAATTCAGACCCATCCTACGGGAATGCGTCCATACTTAACATTTCATTTTTGTTTATAGTTATTTCCAGGACCCATGGCTATAAAGAATGTCAAAATGACTTTTAAAAACCTACTGAGGCTGGGCGTGTAATCCCAGCACTTTGGGAGGTCGAGGCAGGCAGATCACAAGGTCAGGAGTTCAAGACCAGCCTGGCCAATATGGTGAAACCCCATCTCTACTAAAAATACAAAAATTAGCTGGGTGTGGTGGTGGCTGCCTGTAATCTCAGCTACTCGGGAGACCGAGGCAGGAGAATTGCTTGAACCTGGGAGGCTGAGGTTGCAGTGAGAAGAGATTATGCCACTGCACTCCAGCCTGGGCGACAGAGCAAAACCCCATCTCAAAAAAAAGAAAAAAACCTACTGAAAGACTTTCTATGAGTGCCACTCAAAGAGACTGTTCATTGTTCCAGGGTCTACAGGGAACCCAAACCTGTCTTTTTAAAGATCAAGTTGGGTTCTAGAGAATCTATTAGAGGAAGAACGAGGGAGCTGAAGAGGGTAGGAGAGTATAAAATGGAAAATGCATTACCAGATTCAACACTAACTTCTCCGAGTTTAAGATGTGCCTGGGCAGCATAAAGCTGGGCTTCTTTTGTTTCTTGCCTAAAAGAAGGAAAGTTGATCAAAAACCTTAACAGTATCTGTCTAACCCTAACTGGTTTCTATTTAACTACCAAGCTCTCAACCCAAGCCTAGAAGCACCAAGAGTTTTACCTTTTAAAAATGATCTTTGCTAAATCCAGCATATCCCAGGCAAGCTCTAGGTTCCCAATCTCTTCCTCTTCATTTTCTTGAAGAGACTAAACAAAAAAAAAAAAAAAAAGGATAGGCATCTTTTCAGAATACAAATCTAAATGTACAACTTAGCGTAGCTTTAAAAAAGTTGATATACGATTCAAAATT